ATTCAGTCATCTAGTAGAACCTACTTTATTCCTTCATTCCATTCTCTCCCACTCTCCTCAGCGCTCACTTCGCATCACCTTTCCTAATTATAAACTTTCTATATATGTTTGGCCAAATCTACTACTACTAACGTAATTTCAGTTTCTGACATGGAGGAAAATGTAACAGGTACGCCTCTCGTCCCGTGAGTGTATATATTCCAAAAAGGCCGCAATGGGTAGTGCCACTCATTTTGAGAGTGAAAATACCTCCGTAAAGACAGAATATTTCAATCAAAACAGTAGTTACACAACTTTCTGCATCAACTCCATCTTTTACAGGACAGATATTCCGTGATATATACATCTCTCATTGCGTGTATACCGAAAGAGGTATATCTCTCAGTGTTTATACAATTGAAATATACTTTAATCTCTGTTGGTTATGTACAAGTGAACTGCAGTCTTAATCCCCCATGGCTAAGAAGCAATTCTACTTGGTCACTGAGTATATACACCGAGAGGTGTGTATACCTATTGTATATACTATATTCTCTATATTAGCGATAAATGAATTCGTGACTGGTGGTGTACAGATATGCAGATTAAATTACCTTCGTGCAGTTAATAAGCTTTAAGCCAGCCAACTAACCAACTAGCTCTCCTTAGTTGTCTGAGCCAGGCACTATTCATTAAATATTCTTATTATTATTATTAGTGGTGGTAGTAGTAGGTGTTGGTAGAAGTAGTAGGTGGTGGTAGAAGTAGGTGGTGGTAGTAGGTGGTGGTAGTAGTAGGTGGTGGTAGTAGGTGGTGGTAGTAGTAGGTGGTGGTAGTAGGTGGTGGTAGTAGTAGGTGGTGGTAGTAGTAGGTGTGTAGTAGGTGGTGGTGGTGGTGGTAGTAGGTGTGGTAGTAGTAGGTGTAGTAGTAGGTGGGTGTAGTAGGTGGTGGTAGTAGATGGTGGTAGTAGGTGGGGTAGTAGTAGTAGGTGGGGTAGTAATAGTAGGTGGGGTAGTAATAGTAGGTGGTGATAGTAGCAGGTGGTGGTAGTAGCAGGTGGTGGTAGTAGTAGCAGGTGGGTGGTAGTAGTTAGTAGCAGGTGGGGTAGTATAGTAGTCAGGTGGGTAGTAGTACTAGGTGGGGTAGTAGTAGAAGGTGGTGGTAGTAGTAGTAGGTGGGGTAGTAGTAGGTGGGGTAGTAGTAGGTGGGGTAGTAGAAGTAGGTGGGGTAGTAGTACTAGGTGGGGTAGTAGTGGTAGGTGGTAGTAGGTGGTGGTAGTAGTAGGTGGTGGTAGTAGGTGGTGGTAGTAGTAGGTGTAGTAGTAGTAGGTGGTGGTAGTAGTAGTAGGTGGTGTAGTAGTAGTAGTAGTAGTAGGTGGTGGTAGTAGTAGGTGGTGGTGGTAGTAGTAGTAGGTGATGGTAGTAGTAGGTGATAGTAGTAGTAGGTGATAGTAGTAGTAGGTGATGTGTAGTAGGTGGCGGTAGTAGTAGGTGGCGATAGTAGTAGGTGGCGATAGTAGTAGGTGGTGGTAGTTGGAGGTGGTGGGGTTTTGTAGTAGGTGGTAGTAGTAGGGGGAGGGGGTGGTGGTAGTAGTAGTAGGTGGTGGTTATAGTAGTAGTAGGTGGTGGTTGTAGTAGTAGTAGGTGGTGGTTGTAGCAGTAGTAGGTGGTGGTTGTAGCAGTAGTAGGTGGGGGTTGGTAGCAGTAGTAGGTGGTGGTGGTAGTAGTGTAGTAGGTGGTGGTGGTAGTAGTTTGTAGTAGGTGGTGGTGGTGGTAGTAGTAATAGGCGGCGGCGGCGGCGGCGGCGGCGGCGGCGGCCCGGGAGCAGCAGCAGACAGCAGCAGCAGCAGCGCAGCAGCAGCAGCACCACCCCCACACCACCACCACCACCACCACCACCACCAGCAGCAGCCCGCAGCAGCAGCACCACCACCACCACCAGCAGCAGCAGCAGCAGCACCACCACCACCAGCACCTCCACCAGCAGCACCACCACCAGCACCACCAGCACCACCAGCAGCACCACCACCACCACCACCAGCAATAATATTAACAACAGTAATATAGAACAAATATTTTTCTTTTAATAATAAGAAATGCTGCTATTTTTTCATTATCTTTATACGAGTAATATTTTTTTATATTATATATTATTATTTCCCACTTGTATTAATACTAATACAAGCATTACCAAAATTTGCATTATAAAAGCAGGTGAACACTCGACTGAGGTGATAATGAACAAAGTGTCTTTGGCCTGGGTTTTAAAGGTGGCACCTGACTCATGATTTATGACAGTACAATAGTGAGAACGACACTTTTTTTAAGCTCATCACAACTGAAACTGTTTATTATTATGCTCGTCCCTAATAAAGACAATGGAGCATTAATCTTTGTCTGTTTTGTTTGTGTGGTGATGGTAGTGTGTGTGTGTGTGTGTGTGTGTGTACTCACCTAATTGTACTCACCTAATTGTGGTTGCAGGGGTCGAGACTCAGCTCCTGGCCCCGCCTCTTCACTGATCGCTACTGGATCCTCTCTCTCTCTGCTTCCTGAGCTTTGTCATACCTCTTCTTAAAACTATGTATGGTTCCTGCCTCCACTACTTCACTTGCTAGGCTATTCCACTTGCTGACAACTCTATGACTGAAGAAATACTTCCTAACGTCCCTGTGACTCGTCTGAGTCTTCAGCTTCCAGTTGTGACCCCTTGTCCCTGTGTCCCCTCTCTGGAACATCCTATCTCTGTCCACCTTGTCTATTCCCGCAGTATCTTGTATGTCGTTATCATGTCTCCCCTGACCCTTCTGTCCTCCAGTGTCGTCAGTCCGATTTCCCTTAACCTTTCCTCGTACGACATTCCCTTGAGCTCTGGGACTAGCCTTGTTGCAAACCTTTGTACTTTCTCTAACTTCTTGACGTGCTTGACCAGGTGTGGGTTCCAGACTGGTGCTGCATACTCCAGTATGGGCCTAACATACACAGTGTACAGTGTCTTGAACGATTCCTTATTAAGGTATCGGAACGCTATTCTCAGGTTTGCCAGGCGCCCGTATGCTGCAGCGGTTATTTGGTTGATGTGTGCCTCCGGTGATGTGCTCGGTGTTATGGTCACCCCAAGGTCTTTCTCCCTGAGTGAGGTCTGTAGTCTTTGTCCACCTAGCCTATACTCTGTCTGCGGTCTTCTTTGCCCCTCCCCAATCTTCATGACTTTGCATTTGGCTGGATTGAATTCGAGAAGCCAGTTACTGGACCACATGTCCAGCCTCTCCAGGTCTCTTTGCAGTCCTGTGTGTGTGTGTGTTTGTTTTCACCTATCCGTATAGAAATATTGGTGTAATATCATCCATTATACATCGGTATATATTTCGTATAACCTCTCTGCGCAACAAACGGAAACCAGTATTAAGTGATATTAAATCGGAGTATATAAATGATTAGATGACATAAATCGGGCGGTGACATACTATCATTGGAATACACACGAAAATAACCGTAGCAATGCGGTACGTATACTGGTCCATTGGTATGAAATACCGAGACGATGATAAGAGTACTCCCCGCCTGTATGTTTACTTCTCTCCTCCAGGGCACAAGTCCGGCTAATGGGTTTCCCTGAATCTCTTCATGCTAATGCTCACTCTCCAACGGCAAGTCTTGACGTAAAAGCTACTCGTTTCCACTCACTTCGATCTGACTTTAGCTTCCTGGATGCTCGAGCCCCTAGCACTCAGAGCCTCCTTTAACCCCTCCCTCCAGTTTCTCCTGGGATCACTACCTCCTCTTCCTTCCATCCCATATTTATACATTCTTTGTCATCTTTTCAACTCAATCTTCTCCAAATGGCCGAAACCCCTCAATGACCCCTCGTCTGTCCTTTTGCCTTTTTCTTTTATTTTCAGTCGGGAATTTCATCCCTGGATCTCAGCGATGAGAGCCGCGACTCTCACCACTAAGCTATGGCAGTTGATATTTTTTTTTTTTTTTTTTTTTTTTTAACTTCACACTATCTTCTAATTTTTACTCTCCAGTTTCTCAGCATAATATTTACACAACACACTGCGTTCTCACATGATATTTCCTCTGCCTCTAGCCGCCTTCTCGCTGCAGTGGTTAAAGCCCACGCTTCGCACCCACATAACAGTGTTAACACCGGTATTTTCTGGTACACACCTCCCTTTTGCCTCCATAAACTTCTTTCTTTCCATTGATGCCACAACACTCCTCTGTGGTTCCTCACGTCCACTTTATGGTTCATCTATCTCACAAACCCATTCTCCAACATGTCTGCTCCCAAATAAATGAATATATTCGCTTCCTCCATACTCCCTCCACTCTGACAGTATAAATGTCTAGACATGTTGTTTCATCTCCCTACTCTTTCCTATATTTACTTTTAATTTCCGTCTTTTACATACCCTCCCAAATTCACCCACCAACCCCTAGTATAAATATTGTTCCATTATTATTTTAATGATGAAGAGCTACGCCCTAAGTGATTATATTACGCCTGGGAAGCTGAAGGCAATAAGGACTGATCGAAGCAAGGGGATAGCTGCTCTTGTTTTTTGGAATAAATATCCTTTATTAGCATCAAAGCAATCCCCTCCCCACTCTCTCTCTCTCTCTCTCTCTCTCTCTCTCTCTCTCTCTCTCTCTCTAAAAATACGAATATCGACATCTTTACTGCCAAAAACGTACTGTCGGATCTTATGCAATTCCTGCAACCAGGAGACGTCAAATGAAGTCTGATAGCATATCTTTTTTTTTTATACAAGGATAAAAAATACAGATGCTTTCTAATACTGTCAATATCTTTTTTAACTTATCTGTCTCCCGTGCACAGTAAATCAATCCCCTTGGAACAGCCAAATAGGACATTTGAAGTGATAAGACATGCACAACGCCCACCCCACCCAGGTGTTTCACAGGTGTTTTATTCACCATGTTGTCGATATTATATATCTATGATCTAGGACATTTTATTGAGCACCATTTGGCCCCAAATTGACTATCACTTACCTGATAAAGTCAATTCGTGGCGAATCACAGCTATCGGTACGTCGCCATTTCTCCGAAATATTTGAGAGGCTGTAAAGATGGACTGAGTGGGAATGTCCAAGTGTGGGTAGTTTTCTTGCAGTGCTGCTCTTTTTCTTGTTCTTGGATAATCTTGAAGTGAAAGTTCATTGTACGCTTTCTGAAAAAAACTGTATAATTCGTGCGGGTTTAGTGGCTTCAAGTGTACATTTAAATAATAATAACGGTGAAACTTTCTAGTGCAAATATTTTTGTTGATCTCACGATTCAAGCAGGATTCAAACCCATTGCAAACGAGTGCTCATACCAGCAGGCCTGCTGGTTAAAGGACTGGCTCACAATTGGTCAGGATCCCTTCCGTTTCGCGAAATGTTTACAATCGTAGTAAGACAAATGATTGCCGACACTGCGAGAGAAATGAACACGGATGCATTCACTTAGAATATTTTTACTGAAGACCTTTCGGCCCTTGGACCCTGAGATGATACCTAACCTTTCAAGGTTCAAGGACCGAAACATTAACAGTCGTGGTATTACCTTTTCGCTGACCATTTCGTATTATATTTGCGAGAACAAAAGTATTTAGGTCAATATCCTCATAGGTATGACATCCCTTATTTCGTAAGGTTTTACAATCTCAAGCACCATTTTCCCTGTCGAGGAGACATTTGCCAAGTTGTGTTATCAGAAAATGAAGTCATCCATCACGTACACAAACCTGCCATCAATGCTTTTCTCTTCCCATTCTGCTATATATTCATTGTTCTTTTCCTTTTATGTGTATTCAGTTATTAATAAAATTATTTTCCTCCTTCGTTTCATTCTGTAAAAATAAAGAAATATAGATGTCTCAAATGAAAATCATATAATTTGATGAATATTTGAAAATTCTGTTGATATATGTTTCTAGATGTTTAAAGACCCAAAAAACTAACTATTAATTATGTTGATTTTGGTGCACTCCGAAACGATTACACAAAATTTCAAGTTTTGTCTCCGTCTTTGTGTCAAAATTTTTAGAAACAGCAAAAAATTGGACAAAAATATATACTAAAGGTTGGGTTCGAGCTGGATTTCTCATTCGCCAGTAAGTATACTGCAGTGCTTTTGTGTTCTTATAAAGACGCTAATATGGTAGAAAAATATGTTCCTTCAGAGTCAAAAATATCTTCACGATGTCTAAAAAACTTTGCTGTTGTTTGAAGCTTGTGCATCACTCATGGGTTAAAATTCTTTGATGCTTTTAAAAATATGTAATGCATCAGTGGCTATACTGTCGTAATGTTACAGTCGTGAGAGTAAGGATCAACATCCGCCCTTCTTCCTCCTCACTCTTTTTCTCCCATAATTTTCCTTCCTCCTACCCCCCTCCATTCTCCTTTCCCTTCTCTCCCCTCCTGCTCCCTCTCTTCCTCCTCTCCTTTACCCCTTTCCTTATCAACCTTCACCCACCTACTCTCTCTTCCTTTCTCCTCCCTCCTTCCCAACCTTCCCCTTCCCCTCTCATTCAAGATCCAGCTGGACAAGCACTTTACAGGTATTGGATTCAACTAGATACACCGCGCCCTGACGGGAAGAGTTGCCAGAGATTTCAGGGCCACAGCTCAGCATAAATCTGGCCGTCAAGAATGCGGAGTCAGCCCAAATTGTTTTATATATCATAAAACGTGTTAAGTCATGGTGACCAGAAAGGCGTAGTATATAATGAGGAAGAACGGGAGCGAGATGTTGCCATAGACGCTCATTAGTCCCGCACTAAGCTTATGTTCACTATGATGTACATTAACATGACGAGGTAATCTGAAGTAACCAAATTCGTTATGTCTTTTCTGCTAATGTACCAGGACTATCAGTTGGCAACGAGGCAACCGAGTCAATAATGGTAGTAGTGGTAGGCGTAGAAGGTTGTGGTAGTCCTAGCTGGACTGATGATAACCAGAAATGGAACCACTGATATACACAGCTCTGAGTGGCAGTGGATTAATAAGAGTTGCTCAAGATAAGAAGAATGCTGATTTAGTAGAGGTAGTTGTAGCCCACGTCCTCCATCCAGTTCAATCTTTCATGTAAATTCCTTTCCATTTTTACAATATGGCATATGTGCTTAGTTGTACCTTCTGCGTGGCTAGTTTATTACTCACCTCATGTTTATTTTGTGAGCGCTAACGCAAAAATCAGGATTACAGAGGTTACAATGGACCTTTATCATACTCCATTGAACACTGTTATATCACTAGAAAGAAATATTAGTTATTTCATATTTTACAGTTACTTCATATAGTTAGTGTACATAACATAGTACGTAATACAATCTCAAAACATACCTTATTCCCACTGAAAAACATTGGTCATAATTGGGTTTCAATCTCCTCTATAAAATGCACTCATTCATCTAGTCGATGCAAAATGTGGATACAGCCTCAACGTTCCAGATGTTTTACAAATAACAGTGAGGTATCTGGCATATCCTGTAAGGTTTACATGGAGGCGTCTCTAAAAAGTTGGATATTTGACCTGTCCACACTGCATTTTGCATCACTGACATCTCTATACAAACCGTACTGCCAGAGATACAATATCCTAGCCTTGGTCTAGGAGTTATTTTACACAGATATGTTTAATTTGACATAATTCATTATGATGGATAATAAATCTGCTAGATCATATCTGTAGTGTTTTATTTCTTCTAGCCTGTTTGCTAGTTTCTTTCTGACAATGTTTAGTAAACTTATTTGAAAAACAAAGTTATATTCAACTTTCTCTTTAATTTCTCTCTAGCTAATTTATCAACTCTGCTATGCTCCTGAAAGCCTTCGTGAAAGGAAATGTACACATATTTAACTGTAATCCCCTTCTTAATAATGTGTAAAACTGTCTAGCTTTATACACAAGCATGCTACATTTAGGTCTCAGGCTATTTAAAGCAACTATTGAGGAGAGAGAATCAGTTACAATTAAACTGTGTGACGTCGTAGTTTCCACAATCTTGAAAGCAACTGGAGTGGCAAAGACCTCAGTTTTTAAGGTGGAAGCCCAGTTAATTCTCACACACCTCTGCATTATAGTATCATCGGGTTGATTTACAATAACAGCACTTCCTGTCCGCGTAACGTCAGGGTTAAAGGAGTAATAGGTTCCTTTGTCTAACGCGGTGTAAGTGTTCCAGAGCGCTGGTTTTAGAAGTAATCCAAGTGTAGGATTGTGCAGCATGACTGCATCCTTGGGAGGGTATGTGGGCACAGAGATATCAAAAGCTGTTATCTGCCAGGGTGCCGGGAAATGCTGTTTTTATCTCCTAGCATGATGCAGTTCATGTAGTCCAAACATTTTTTTCTGTGTGGCTGTTAAAATATAAGAACATAAGAAGAGGGAACACTGCAACAGGCCTACTGGCCCATGCGAAGCACGTCCATGTCACCCCCAGCCTAGAACAATGACCACCTAGTCAGGTCACTTCCACTAAAGGAAGGAGTACGGCACCAGACCTGGTAGCCCAAGCTAGTCAGGTGCAACTCACACCCACTCATGTATTTATTCAACCTATTTTTAAAACTACACAAGGTCTTAGCTTCTATGACGGTACTCGGGCGTTTGTTCCACTCATCCACAACTTTATTACCAAACCAGTGATTTCCTATGTCCTTCCTGAATCTGAACTTTTCCAACCTGAAATCATTGCTGCGAGTCCTGTCTTGGCTGGATATTTTCAGCACGCTATTTGCATCCCCTTTATTTATTCCTTTTTTCCATTTATTCACCTCAATCATATCCTCCCTAATTCTACGCCTTTCTAGAGAGTGCAGATTCAGGGCCCTCAGTCTATCCTCAAAGGGAAGATTTCTGATACATGGGATTAACTTTGTCATCCTCCTCTGTACGTTTTCCAGTGCATTTATATCCATTCTGTAATACAGTGACCAGAACTGTTCAGCATAATCTAAATGAGGTCTAACCAAGGATATATAGAGTTGAAGAACAACCTGTGGACTTCTATTATTTATACTTCTTGATATGAAGCCAAGGATTCTGTTAGCTTCATTGCGAACACTTATGCACTATTGTCTTGGTTTCAGATTACTGCTAACCAGAACTCCTAAATCGTTTTCGCAGTCAGTAGTATTAAGATCTACGCTATTCAGTTTATAAGTTGCATGATTATTGCCCTGTCCAACATTTAGCACTTTACATTTGTCTATATTAAACTGCATCTGCCACTTCTCCGACCACTGCATCAGTCTATTCAAATCATCCTGGAGTGCACTAATGTCCTCAATAGAATGAATTGGACGGCATATTTTGGTGTCATCAGCAAATTTGCTTATGTCGCTATTTATTCCCTCATCATCGTTTATATAAATTGTGAACAATGGGCCTAACACTGACCCCTGTGGAACACCACTGCTGTTCACAATTTGCATAAACGATATCTGAATTAATTTTGATTCACTTATCCCATGAATTATATATTTTAGTAATTCCATGGAGACGTTGTTTTGATCACCAAGTAGCATCTTTAGTCCTGTAATGACACTGATTTCACGTTTTCTATCAGCGACACTAAGGAAATCTAATTTTTTCCTCATATTAAAAATTTTGATGGTTAGAGGACAACCAAGAAAAACTCTCATGCCTTTATTTTGTGTTTTTGTGAGTCTTTCAATGGTTTTCGTGCCGGCTCGTACCTAGATAATTCATGATGGTCCTTAATCTAGATATGAGTGGATAGTTTTCATCAGCAGGTAGCCTCGGTGGGGACTTCCAAGTCGAAAACTCTATGTCCTTCCCATGTTTTCTCACGTACCTCTTCCTCCTCCTATCTCACATCCTCCTCTTCTTCGTACCTCACCTCCTCCTCTCGTGAGCTGCCCCAGCCTGAGCAACTAACATGAGAGCATCAAGACCTCCAGTACTCTAGCCACCATCAAGACTCGCTTGTAAACCTCGCCTCAGAAATCTCTTTCACGGCCGAAGTTTTTATATCATGTTGAGGGGCAACATGGGAGGGTGTGTGAATATGTGGGTGTAGGTCAGAGGGCTTGAGTGTGACGGGTGGGCGTATATGCGATCGGGGGTCAGAAGGCATGGGAGGGGCGTGTGGCGTGCAGGCGGTACAGTGTGTGATGCACAAATAACCCGCACATGAGGCAGTGTTGATAGTGT